GAAAACTGTACCTTGCCCACCCCTGGGGGCAGCCAGGCTGGCACTACAGCAGGGCGGCCACCTCCTGAGCCCTTGGTGAGGCAGCGAGAGGGGCAAGCCCACACCTTCCCCCGGCTGACAGACCCCACGGCAGGGCATTCAGGGCTGGGACCCAGAGCTCCGCTGTGGGCGGGAGGCACCTTCCCTGGGTCTCAGGGAACGCAGCGCGCGCTGTGCGGGGGGGAAGCAAAAGGGCAAAGGCCAGACTCCCCAGCTGGCGTCACGTGCAATCTCTCCTGGCCTCTTCCAGGCATGGCCCAAGGCCAGCTCAGCAGCGAACTCAGGCCCCACGGGTGAGGAAACTGCCAGGTCTTCGGCTGGCTCGCTCCGTTCCTTCTCGCCCCGTACACGCACCACCCCAGGGACGTACGGCGCCGACGGGGACGCCCACTGATCTCTCGCCCAGAGAGCAACGGCCCATCCCTGCCACCGAATCCCGCCCCGCCCTTACCGGGCATCTTCCCAGACGCCACGTTGGTGTCGGAGTGGGAGCGCGCGTGGCTGCGCTTGAGGATCCCGTGGGGGGCGGACGTCTGCCCCTCCGAGAAGCTGGATCTGCGCAAGAGGCTCAGCCCCCGGCTGGCCCCGCTGGCCCCCTGCTCCTCCAAGGAGGAGACGGACTCCGGCTTCTGAGAGCTGCTGGACGAGAACAGGTTGGAGCTGCTGCTTTTGTTGCTGTTGGTGGCGCTGCTGCTGGGGCTGCTCTGGCTGCTGTGGGCCCGGCCCCGCTGCCCCAGGTTCCCGATGGCCAGGTACTCCGGCCCGTCGCTCTGGGCGTCATCCTGGCTGCCCAGCCAGGGGTCTTCGCTGTGGCTGGGCACTGTGCTGGCGCTCCGCTCGCTGGCGGAAGAGGAGTCTCTGGGGGAGGGAACACTGCGGGGGAAGCCAGGCTGGTCCCCGGGGGATCTGTCCTCAGGCAGCAGGAGGGCTCCATTGCCCAGGGCGTTTTCCAGAGGCTGGCTCGTGCCACGGCACAGGAAAGAGCTGGCTGGTCTCCTGTCTGGACACAGGCAGAAGGGAGAGGCCACACATGAGCACACAACAGTGCAGAGTTGAACGACCAGCATGTAGCTCAACACGCCAGCAAACCCAGAGCCGAAAGACAGTGTCAAAGTATCTCTGGCTTTATTAAGACCAAATGCTTCCTCTCCACTGTCTCCAGCGCCCCGGGCATGGGCTGGGAGGTGAAAACCAAGGCCCAGCTCCTTCCTGAAGCTCAGTTTCCATCCACCGCTGGGGAGTTTTGCTCAGAAGACCGGGACACATAGGAATGCTGGTTTGCTATTGCCGGGGGTTGCGGGAGGGCCAGGCACAAAACCTACTTTTATAATGTGGTGGTTTGGAAAGTCCCAGTGAGCATACACACCCACCCCAGTGTGTTACCCGCAATTGCTCGGGCGGGCAGGGCTCTGCATGGCCCCAGTAGTGTAGCTTGTCATTAATCAATTAAAATACTAGAATATAAGAGCCTGATAGGTTTAAAAAAAACAGCTTAATGTTTAAAGCTGGAATGCAAGAAACCTATGGATTTAGGCCTGTCAGATACTTAACTTAGCTAATTTATCTTAAAGCCTAATTTGACTATGTTATAAAGATACAGTAGCACGAGTAAATTAATCATAAATCGCCTCAGATCGTGTCTATGTTTGTACGCTGAGGTTTTGAAAAATAGCTAATGAGTTTGTGTCTACTGAACCTCTCTAGTCCGGCACCCTTAAGACCCGACTGGTGCCAGAGAATTTGCCGAATCACAGGAGGTTGATATTATCTAGCAGCATTACTAGCACATCCACTGTTTACCAGGGTACATTAGAGCTAAACAGCAGCACAGAACACTGAGCACCAGGCCTGGGGGCCATAAACAAACTTTATGAGACCTCAGGAGACATGGTCACCCCCATGAAAAAAGGACAGCCAGCTAGCTAGTCATGCCGGACCAGAGAGGTTCAACCTGTAGAAGAAGTCAGATCACAAGACACAAGACGGCCCTTGGTAGCAGGGGCTGAATGGTCAGAGACTTCCTTAAGGTAACTGCATGGTACTACAATAAGGTGACAAAAATATGAAAATAGGTTGAAGAACTATGCAAGTGGCCTATCAGGTGACCAGTCCCCAGTCTTACTAGGGTGACCGTCTTAAAGATGGACATAAGGGAGTTCAACCCTCATGCATATTAATGAGCTTGGGTGGGTCCACAGATGGGGGAGGGAAACCCTTTAAATTGCTGCTGGAGCGCTGCACTGAGCACTCTGGATGGTACTGAGGGCAAGGGGGCCCAATGCTGTGTTCCTGGCTGCAGTGAGGGCCCACTGTCCTGGCCCCGCCCCTTCTGCCTGAGGCCCCGCCCCTTCTGCCTGAGGCTCCGCCCCTTCAAGGGCACGGAGATGCCCCAGACACACACACACACTGCCCCAAGGGCCTGCAGAAGAGCTGTCGCCTGGCCCCCCCGCTGCACAGTGACGGTAACGGAAGTGTTCTCTCTCTGATCTGATTGGATTATCGTCCCACTCCCCCCCACGCGGCTCAAGTCTCCACCCTGCTGGCTCAGCCCCAAGGTTTTAAACACTGGAGGAGCCATGGAGATCAGACTTTTGGCTAGCGCTAGAGCTCGAAGGGGGTCATCAGTATTACTCAGACCCACGAGCAATCCCGGCGACCGTTGCTTGCAGCAGGGTCGCCCAGGGAGCTGGTACCGCAGGCCTGCTCCGAGAAAAGAGCGACCCTGAATTACAGCCCCGGCAAACCGCCCTGCACGCAAGAGACAGGGGGGCCCCTTCTGAGCTGCCAGGACAACCCACGCGCCCCTTACCCGACACGCTGGTGGAGGCTGGCTGGTGCAGGCTGGAGAAGGAGCCGCGGGACCTGTGCTGCGGATAGGCCACGGGAGGGAGACCCACAGAACCGGGCAGCGCCGTCAAGCTCTGACTCTTCGGCACAGGTAACGGCGCCTCGCTCCTTCTGAGAAACAGCACAGAGGTGGCCGGGGGAATCCCCCAGCGCTACCGTGTCAAGCAGCACAGGGACGGGGACTCGGCGCCCCGAGAGCCGCAATGGCGGAGTGCAAGAGCAATCAAGGAGCAGTCCCGAGGGAGGACGGTGACTAACCAGGGAGGCCAGCGGCTGCTCTGGTGTCAGGTGGGATGCTGCCAGCTCTCTCGCGGAGGGTGCAAAGAGCCCGAGTCCAAAAGGGAAGCCACCCATTGCGCTCAGTTCAACCCGCGGCTCCCAGGTGGAAAGCACCAGGCTGCGGGGTGGCGATCCCAGCCAGGGGAAGGGCCGGAGCCACACCCAACCAGCGGAGAGAAGGCAGCCACCAGTGAATAACAATCACCCCTGCGTCTCCTCGGGAGACCTCAAAGCCCCTGCAGAGCCGGGGGGCCGGGTACCGTCCTCCTAGCTGTACAGAGGGGGAAACTGACCAGGACAAGGCTATGCAGGAAGTCAGTGGCAGCAGAGGCACAAATAAAAGCCAGGCTTGAGCCATGCCCTCCCCCCAACTGGGTCTTCACAGTGGCAGCCCTGGTCCACACATTTCAGCGGTTCCATGTGGGGGGGGGGAGAAGAGGCAGCTTCCTCCTGCTCTTCCCCGCCATGATAGAGGCAGCGGGAGGAGGGGGGAGAGGACGGAAAGGAGGCAGCTCCCCAGGAGCCGGTGCGTGTGGGCAGCCGGCTTTTAACCCAGCTCCCCACGTGTACCGGGAGCCTGTGTGTAACCGTGAAGGTGAACTGATGAGCCCAAGCCATCGGGTAACACTCCTCACTGGCCCTGCAGTCCCTAGAGAACCCGTGCACCTAGAACTTCAGGGATCTTTTCAGAGGGAAGACTGGCTCCTCCTGCCCCCACTAACGTTTGGCTCTTGGAAGCCAACAAAAACAGGCTGACACTCAGCATGTGCCTGGAACGTCCAGCTCCCTTAAAGATCCCCCCTCCCACGCCCGCTGCACCTGCCTTCAGCATCCTACCGAGAAGCCAGCTGCTAATCAGCTGGTCCCCACCCCTCGCCTAGCCCTTCTGGGAGGAACCCCCCCCCCGCCCAGGAGTACAAGCCTTCTCCCAGGGGCTGTGGGTTCTGCACGGGACGCCTCGCCAGGGGATCGCGGATCAGCCGCGTTGCAGGGAGAGACGGACACAAACCAGGGACCCGCCTCACCGTGGAGGTGTCGATCTGAGCCAGAAGCCGGGGGTTGTTCTGTTCCACGGCCTCCAGGCACTGGAGCATGGCGGTGACGTGGGCGTCACTGAGCAGGAAGGCAGCGTCTGGAAGGAAGCAGCGAGCGACAGGGATTCGTGGTGTGACACAAAGGGGGCTGCGTGATTAGTTAATGTGAGAGCCTGGAGACAAGCCCCCAGTCCCTCCCGGAGTCTTAGCCGCGCCAATGCAGCAGAAAAAGCAATTGCAGGGTAGCCTCTCTGCAGCCATGCCAAGACAATACTGCACTCCTAGGGATGCTGCACCCCAGCTGCCCTAGTACCTGTTCGACAGGTGAGGGTTCTCTCACAGGGCTGTACAAGGAGTAAGCAAGGTGGGGCACTGGGAAGCTCCCAAGGGGCTAGGCACAAAACCCACTGAAGCTCCTGGTGAAAGGGCCCGTGACAGATACAAAGCCCAGCAATCTCCATAGGAAAGGAGCCGGCAACTTCAACTGGCGTCGGAACATGCCCTACGCTGGTACCCAAGGATCGGCCTCAGCGTCCCTGGGAAAGGCCGCGCTCCAGACTCTATGACCCAACCCTGAGCTGGGATCTTCTACTGCTACACCAAAGCCTCTCGGTTCCTTTGTACAAACTGGTAGAAAACAGTTTTCCTGTCCTGCCAGCATGTATCATTTAAAACCATTTTATCCCAATTCGAGGGGGGAGAGGGAGGGAGGAAATCAGTGGTTTCAAATTTTGGCAACTCCAAATTTTTTTCAGAATTTGGATCGGGTCAAAATGTTCCATTTTCTACATTTATTTTACCACCCTGCCTCCCATAAAACAACCTAACATTCAGCACAAGCCATTCTGAGCCCCAAACCTGACATTTTTTGTTTAGACAACGTCAGAACAGACACTGATAATTCTGAGGCTCTCTGGCGACCCAGGCGCGGAACGGGCGATTCACCAAAACCGATCCCTTCCCGTGAAGAGCACAAGTTCAAAATGCATCCGAATTTTCCAGCAGAAAAACTGTCCAAGTATTTTCCAGCCGGCTCTTCTTTGAATCGGGACCCAAGGAGGCTCGGGAGCCAAATATCTCTGCGGCCCCCACCTGCTTATACCTGGCATTGGACATTGCCAGAAACATGCTTCTAGATGGTTGGCCTGATCCAGAATCCCAATCCCCACCACGTTACATGTTAAGGACCTGCCCTTCCCCGGGCTGCCCTCCCCCATCCCAGCATTGTGTGTAGGACCTGCAGCCATGGCTGGAGAAGGGCCTAGTTCTCTGGGGATGAGGGTCTCCCCGGGCTGCTTACCTGTGTAGAATTTCCGGATGTACTGTCTGTTCTCTAGCAGCGGTTTCAGCTGCGCGGAGAGGCAGTGGAACTGCAGGCTTTGCTGAAGCCACCGCGCGGCGACGACTTGGTCGCTCACCCCCGCTGCGCCTGGCTGGCCGTTCTCCCGCAGGCTGACGAACTGGAAATGGACACCACACTCAGGTCAAGTCGGACAGAGACTCGTGGGCTCACGAGAACGAACAGCCTCTGCTAAGTCTGGAAAGCCAGTCACAGATCCAGTAGCGGACCCTGGCCCATCCAGCCGCTTCCCGCCGCCAGGCAAGGACAGAGTGCACAGCTGTGCTGTAACAGCACCGGACCCGTCCACCCGTCGGGGACACACAAAGGGAACAGTCGGACTGGGAGGGAATTGCACCAGAAAGGTCAATAAAAACAGCCACACTGGGCTAGACAAATGGTCCATCCGAGGGATGTTAAATTGCAGTTCATCAACTAAGCGACTAATTGATTAATCAATAAGCGGGGGAAACTGCGGAGCCGCAACAGGGTCAGCTCCCAGCCCAGGGAGCTAACCCTGCTGAGGCTCTTGGCCTTTTAAATGTATTAGAGCTGGCAGGTGCTTGATACATTTCAAAGGCTGACGTGCAGCGGGGGAGATCAGGCACGAGCCAGGACAGCTGATTCCTGGCTCACGCCTGGTCCCCCCACTGCGCTTCAGCTTTTAAAATGTATTAAGAGCCTGCTGGCTCTTCATACATTTAACAAGCAGAGGCGCGGTATCTGGGACTGGGCGAGAGCCGGGAAGAAGCTGATTCCTGGCTCACGCCCAGTCCCCTGCTATGCCTCTGCCAACCCTGCCCCCGTGGAGACAGTGCTGGGGAGAACCGGCTTTTAAGCCAGCTCCCCCAGTGCCAGCTCCTGCTTCCCCCTTTTCTGACTCTGATCCAAGGGGGAAGTGAGTAGGCTTATCGGATAGTCGACTAGTTGCTTACACCCCTAGTCCATCCGGCCCAGTGTCTTGTCTTCTGACAATGCCAGGTGCTTCATTCAGGGGGAACAGACAATCGAGTGATCCACCCATCATGCACAGCCAGCATCTGGCAAACAGAGGCTAAGATCACTTAAGAGCATGGTGCTCCACTCCTGACCATCCTGGGTAATGGCCACCGATGGACCAATCTTCCATGAGCTACTTGAATCATTTTTTGAACTCAATTATGCTTTTGGCCTTCCCAACATCCCCTGGCAATGAGTTCCACAGGTTGACACTGTGTCATGTGAAGAAGTGTTTCCTTTGGCTTGTTCTAAACCTGTTGTCTATTAATCAGCCAACCCCTAGTTCCTGTATTATAGGAAGGAGTAAACATCACTTTCTTATCCACTTTCTCCAGTCAAGGTATCATAAATCTCTATCATATCCCCCCTTAGTCATCTCTTAGACATCTTCCAAGTCCCAGTCCTTTTAATCTCTTCTTAGAAGAAAGCTGTTCCACACCCCTAATAGTTTTTGTTGCTCTTATCTGTACCTTTTCCTATTTTAAAATATCTTTTATGAGATGGGCCAATTAGATCGGCATGCAGTATTCAAGATGTGGGCGTACCATGGATTCATACAGAGGAATAATCATGTTTTCTTATTGTCTATCCCTTTCCTAATGACCCCCAACAGTCGGTGAGCTTTTTTGACTCCTGCTGTACACTGAGCAAATGTGTTCAGAGAACTATCCATGGTGAATTCCTTTCTTGAGCGGAAAGAACTAATTTAGACCCCATCGTTATACATGGATGGTTGGGTTTGTGCCTTCCAATGTGCATGACTTCGCTGGTACTGAAGTCAGGCTGTAACTGCCAGGATCACCTTGGCAGCCTTTTTTAAAAATTAGCATCACATTAAAAAAAGCAGCAAGTAATTCTGCAGCACGTTAGGGACTAACAAATATAAATATATATAAAGAGCTTTTGTGGGCACAACCCACTTCCTCATGATTGTGCATTTTTTTAAAGTTACAGACTAACATGGCTACCCCACTGAGGGTATGTCTACACTACCCTCCTAATTCGAAATAGGAGGGTAATGTAGTCATACCGCAATTGCAAATGAAGCCCGGGATTTGAATTTCCCGGGCTTCATTTGCATAAAGCCGGCCGGCGCCATTTTTAAATGCCGGCAGTTCGAACCCCGTGCCGCGCGGCTACACGCGGCACGGAGAAGCTAGCTCGGATTAGGCTTCCTAATCCGAACTAGCTGTACTCCTCGTGGAATACATTTGCAATTGCGGTATGACTACATTACCCTCCTATTTCGAATTAGGAGGGTAGTGTAGACATACCCTGAGACTTTTTAGCATCACGTGTGTTATCCTCCAGTCACATAGTACAGAAGCTGATATAAGCGACTGGTTTCATACCACGCAGTTAGTAACTTTGCAATGTCACATGTTTGAGTTCCGTCAGAACGCTCGAGGGAATACCAGACGGTCCTGGTGACTTGTCACCGTTCAATTTATCCATTTGTTCCAATGTAGGGATGTTAAAATGTGATTACTTTCCTAATCGATTAGTCGACAGGTTTTCTGGGGTGCAGTCTGGCTAGCGCCGGCTCACAGCATAGCCTCCCCAGCTGCTGCTCTGCACTGCACAGCCCAGGGAAGCCCATGCAAAGACACTTTGGGTATGTCTACACTACCCCGCTAGTTCGAACTAGCGGGGTAATGTAGGCATACCGCACTTGCTAATGAAGCCCGGGATTTGAATTTCCTCCCTGCTCCATGTGTTCCTTTTCATTCATCACCACACACACACAGACCCCAGGCTGGGTGAAAAGCAACGCATGGAGCAGGGACCGACTCAGCGCCTTCATACGCGGCTTCCCTAGGCTGTGCAATGCAGAGCAGCAGCCGAGGGGAGTGGGGGAGGGAACGTGACAAATCGATAAGCTCCTGCTTATCGGTTAGTCGACTAGTCGATTAGTCACTGACATCCCTATTCCAATTCCTCAGATTGGTCACCTAAAAAGAATGGTTCGGGGGGGAATCTCCCGCCCCTCCTCTGCAGTGCAGACCGATATAAACGATTCATTTCATTTCCCCACAACGGTCTTAGCTTCCTCGAGTGCTCCTTCAGCACGTCAATCATCCAGGGGCCCCACCCACTGCTCATCAGGCTTCCCGCTTCGGCTGTACCTGGGACACTTTTTGGGTCCTGCGACTGAGTTTTTTTATCTGGAGTCTACATTTAACACACGATGCTCTGCAGTAAGCCCTACCGACTGGGGTGCTCTTTTCAGCACATGTCACAGCGCACAGGCTGGCCAGAAGGGACCTTACTATCCCCACCTCATGCCTTAGGGCTGGCCAGAAGGGACCTCACATAGGGTGAAGAGAGGAGTCCGGTCTCCACTGGGCTGCTAGTCGTGTCTTCAGCTCCTCTCCCCTGGGAGCCCCATCCCTGACCCACTGCAAAGTCTAACCTTGCTACTGAGCAACAACGCCGCCAGAAGTGATCAAATCCTGGAGACGTGCGTCCCCTGGCCTCAACAGTGGTGCAGTCCCTCTCCCCTGCCCTTCTAGGGCTTATCCCCATCTCGCAGCATGCTTGGTCCCAACGGACGTCACTTGCTCTTGGGAGAAAGGCCGTGGTCTTCCCGCTATAAAGAGCTATGCAGATTGGCCCTGCCAGAAACGTGACCTCAAAGTATGCAACACTCTTAGGGTCTGCATGAGGAGTTTAGGCGGGGCTGGTCCAGCTGACAAAGGGAGGGAAATCAGTGCCAGCTGTCGGGGCAGTTTGTGATGGAGCAGCCAACAGCCCCAGGAATGAGCAATCGAAACCTTGCTCTCCCATACACCAGCTGTCACCCGGGGCTGCAGACTTAGCTCTGCAAAGCTTGCGGGGCAGCGTGGCTAGAATACGAGGCTGCATAGCTGAGACAGTCCCCTTGGTCCACAGGGCACTGAAATCACTCCCAAACTAGACACGATAGCGGGATTATAACGAAGCGTCTCCTCCCTCGATCCGTCAAAGCGAGACAAGAGGAAGCAAACTCCACTGCCAGGCGGTCCCAGCTGCTCCACGGCAGGAGAGCTACAGCCTAATGCTTCCGACACTTCAAACCGTACCCCCAGTCACTCTCTGCTGGCCAGGGAAAGCAGCACCCTTGAGGCCTCCAAGCCAGATCCATCCTCCAAGCCCACCCCCCCAGGACTCACCTTCTCCACATGATGAGACGAGTGCGGGCTCAGCCAGCGGATGTCCTTCACAAACTGCCAGTAATCCGTCTGTCTGCAGCACACCTGCCCGGAAACGGCACAGTTAGTCCCTGCCAGGATACGGACAGGTGCCGAGGCCAGCGCAGTTCAGGCGACCTGCCCTGGCGTCCAGGGAGATCACGGCGCCACCCAACCGACAGCACAATGAGTCACGCGCAGGCGCTGATACGGTGAGAGAGGAAGGGTGGCCCAGGGGTTAGGACATTAGGGACTTGGGAGAGCTGGTGTCAATTTCCAGCTCCGTCAGACTTCCTGTATGAGAGCGCCAAAACAGCGGCAGAAAAAATGCGAAGAGCCGCACCAGAATTGTTGAAAATAAATAAATAAATAATCCTGCCCCTTTAAAAACCCACGGGGTAAGCTTTTTGGCCACATCAGGCTCCTGCCGGCCGCCATCTTGCCAACGCCATTTTGCCGCACCAGATGGCTCCCCTGCACCTGGTGAGCACAGGGAGCCGGGGGCTCTTTGTAGGGGCGCATGGGGCAGCTTCACGAGCCACGGGGGAGGCTTCGTGAGCCGCACTTTCAGGGGTGAAGAGATGCATGTGGCTCACGAGCTGCAGATTGGGCATCCCACTGTACGACTCTGGGCAAGTCTCTCTGTGCCTCTGTTCCCCACGTCAGCTGGAAACAATACCACCGCCCTACCTCATCATACATGGTGAGCATAAATACACTGTGTAGGAGGCACTCAGCTACCACAGTGCTGAGAACTATACAAGAGCCATGTAAACACACATACATATATTGGGGGCATATAGACACACACACGCATGCAGGGTGTGAATGACTCAGCCATGCGAGTAGGACACCCAGGGCAAGCACACACTACTGAATGGCTGTGAACTGCAGAGTAACTTAGGCCAGATCTACACTAAAGGGGAAGGTTGAATTATGATATGCAATTCCAGTTATGTTAATTACGTAGCTGGAGTTGACATACCTTCATTCGAGTTTCCCCACTCCTGTTGGCTTCCCTTAGTCCTGGAAGAAGTAGGCGCGCTGGCTGCAGAGGGGGGTGCACTCTGAGTTTGATTTAGTGGGTCTTTACTAGACCTGCTGAATCAAACTCTGGAAGATCGATTGCAGCAGCATGGATCTCCCCCCTAGTGAAGACATGGCCTTAACATTTGCCACCCTGAGTGCAATAATCGGGTCCAGGGAGCAGGACATCAGCAGTAGGGCATGGGAACAGCATGACCCTAGAGCTGCTGGGGGGGGGAGTGGTGAGCAGCTTATTGAACTACATCTCCTCTGCCTGTTCTTGCAGCAAACTGCTCTCCGCAAAGCTGGCCACAGAGCAACTCTCAGGCACAGAGGGAGCGGGGGCTGCCTCATCTCAAAACACAGCCCACCAGGGCCCCTGAGGAATCATCAGCAGATGGATGTCCCCTGGAACTCAGCAACCAGAACTGTCCAGCTAATAGGCCCAGGGAGCAACAGAGCAACAAAACGCAAAAAAACCCAGGGCTACGTCTAGACTGGCATGATTTTCCGAAAATGCTTTTAACGGAAAAGTTTTCTGTTAAAAGCATTTTCGGAAAAGAGCATCTAGATTGGCACAGACGCTTTTCCGCAAAAGCGTCCATGGCCAATCTAGATGCGCTTTTGCGCAAAACAAATCTCAGCTGCCTACACTGGCCCTTTTGTGCAAAAGTTTTGTGCAAAAGGGACTTTTGCCCGAACAGGAGCAGCATAGTATTTCTGCAAAAAGCACTGATTTCTTACAGTAGGAAGTGAGTGCTTTTGCAGAAATTCAAGCGGCCAGTGTAGACAGCTGGCGAGTTTTTCCGGAAAAGCAGCTGATTTTCTGGAAAAACTGGCCAGTCTAGACACAGCCAAGGAGAAGAGCAACAGCAAGCGGCCATGAAAAGAGGCTGAATAGGGACAGGAAAAAAGCCACAGCACAGCGCCTACAGGGCAGACCGGTGTGAAGGGACAGGGTCATTCGCCAATCTACTGCCGTGGGGCCTGACAAAAGAAGGAAGGAGGCTGGGAACTAGTGGCTGCATTGCTGCTCACCGGACCAGGTGCCAAATGCAGCCAGATACACAAGGCCTGGCCTAGCTGTGGGCAGAAGAGTACAGGCGGAAAACAGCTGGAGGAGAGGACTGGCGGTGAAAAGGTTAACGCAAGACTCTCCACAGTCATCCACGGCTCCTACCTATTTGCAGGCTCAGCTCAGCGCCGGGCCTACGTGACCTTTAGCACAGGCGAAGTACAACGCCCCGCAGTCCGAGCCGTTCAGAGCCCGGCAAAGCAGGAGAGCGGAAGCATTGCACGGCCAGGCCAAAGGGTTTCATTGCAGTAGCGACCAGGCAGTACCAAGGGGACGCCCCACCAGAGCAACAGGGTGTGGTGAAGGTTCAAGGCTGCAGCATGAGGAAGGTGAGGCAGTTCGCCGGGGCAGCTGGTGCCTGCGGGGGAGGTGGTGCAGGGAGAGCTGCCCAGAGGGGAGGGGGTGCATGGGGCACCCCATTTAGCAACTAAAATTTTGGCAGTGCCCCTCCCAAGTGCTGCTGCAACTCACCTTCGCGGCACGCCAGACCTCTCTCCCCGTTACCTCTGCCTGGCTACTTCACGACCGCCGTCACCACTTGCTTCATGCTGCTGTGCGCCTGCGCAACCCAGGGGCAGGGCTACGGGCCACCGTGCAGTCTGAGACCCGTCTCTTAAAGGGACAGCATCCCGTCCCCTTGCAACAGGGCCATGAGTGTTCATGACAGGAAGGAGGGAAGAGGGGACCCTGGCTTTTCTGGACTAAAGTGGAACTCAATTCCCCCTCGCCGGCCCCAGGGTCACAACTGTGCACCTCAGTCAAAATTACCCACAATGGGTTCAAAATTGCACATCGACTTATCAGCAAGGATTCAACAGTAGCCTCGCCTACTCGCACCAACTTCATACCCAACTGCCGGAGAATTTTCTACCCCTACCTGATGGCAAAATGTCACAGCCCCACCCACAGCAACCCCTCAGCTCTCCCTTCAGCGGGGCTAGGGTGGCAGTGTTCCCTCCAACATTTTCTGTCCTTGGGCGGGTTGCATTTTCTTTAAAAAATTAACACTACCCTTAAAGTACAAGTATCAACCTTTCTAATGGCTCATAAGAGCCAGAACTCTGCCAAATAGCAAAGATCTGGTCTTCATGCACTATAATATACTGTGTATTAATTAGTAACACAGATTTTTTTTAAATCGTTAACTACAGAGTTTTAAAGCTTCAGAGGGGTAGCCAAGTTAATCTGTAACTGGAAAAACTTAAACAATGAGTTTTACATACCTGCAACACTCCAAAAACATTCTGGTAAAAGAATCTTTTCCTTTCTTATCTTAAACCATTAACACCAATGTAAGCTTTGCATCTGACAGGTCTCATGCATCTGACGAAGAGGGTCTTGGCCCACGAAAGCTTATGCTCCAATAAATCTGATAGTCTATAAGGTGCCACAGGACTCCTTGTTGTTTTTGCAGATTCAGACTAACACAGCTATCTCTCTGATACTGTGTAAACTTTGACATGCAATCATGCAAATGTCCTGGCACACACACTTCCCTTGCAGCCTGCACCCCCCTCAACCCAGCCAGACCTAGAGCACTGCAGCTAGTCAGACACCCCAAACAAACTGCCCCCTGCCTCTACCTCACTGCAGATGCCAGCACCCACCCACCCCCCTTTCTCCCACCTACCCCAGGCAGTCAGCCCCTTATCTCCCCCTTCCCATCAGGCTTGAGTGAGCTGAGTTTCTGCCTCTCTCCTTCTGCAGAGGGACGCTATAAACTCCCCTCCCCTCCGACTCTTCATCAGCCAATTAATTAATTACTCCCTCCCCCCCCAAGACACTAATTGTCTCCTTATCTCCCTTTTTACCTGCTCTCAGAGCTCCTCAATTCAAGCAGGCAACTAGCTCTGTTTAGCTGCTTGCTCAGTGAGATGGCCCCACCCCCCCCCCAACCCCCCTGCCTGCTTGAAAC